TTTACTTTCCCCTATTTTTTACCCTCCTCTATTTATTGCCCTCCTGTTCATTGCCCTCTCCCATTCTTTGTCCTCCTTTATCTTTTGCCCACCCCCCATTCCTTACCCTCCTCTATTCTTCGCTCTTCTTTGATTATTGCTCTCCTTCTTCCTTTGCCCACCCCCGACCTTTTCCCTCCTAGAACCTTTGCACCCTGTTATTCTTCATGCTTTACTATCCTTTGTCCTCTTCCGTCATTTTCTCTTAGGTTCTCTAATCTTTTTCCCTCAGGCTTTGTCATTCTTTACCCTTCCTATACCTTGTCCTCTCATATGTTTTGTCCTTCACAAGGGCCTGTTCTGTCACAACTCTTCTATTCTGTTTACCTTTACAAATTACCTTGCTGTTCCGTTTTCCAACAGTCAATTTATATAGATAAACAGAAAGTGTCAGTCATTGCTGAACAGGCTCTTAGTCATTCTTCTATCCTCCCTTCCTAGTCCATTTTCTTCCTCCTCCTAGCCAGAGTGTGATTTCTTAATCTTTATCTCTTTCCCATTCCACTTGTCTCCTAACTACTGCTTCTTCTCTTTAGTTATTTGTTATAAGTTCTTTGTTTTTTATTATTTGTTATTCGGTATTTGGTATTCATTGTTCAGCATTTCGTGTTTATTGTTTTTTGTTTGTTATTTGTCGCTCATTGTTTGTCCCATTTTGTTTGCTGAAGGATAATCTTATATTAATTTCCTTCTTCATTAAAGTATTCCTGCATCCTGTTCTGCCATTCAATTCCTGCCTGTTGTTTGCTTTGTAATTCTAATTGTTCATCAATTATATTATTATCCAATTCCACTTTCTCTTGCTGCCTTTCCAAGTCATCATTGGCTATTCTCCATCTTATATCATCTTCATAGTCATAAAGAAAGTTGTGAAGTATAATACAGGCTTGGATCCAGTATACTACCCATCTATGATCTGATTTTCATTGAACGTAAATTGGAATACCGTGAAGTGGACTCTACCTATTCGTTAATATCCTAAAGGTATGTTCTATTTTTACTCTAGCTTCAGCCAGTTGTAAATTGAACTTCTTATATCCCCCTAAAGTTCGACTTGCTTGTCGCTCTTTATAAGTTGTCATGCACCTTCATGTTACCCGGTATACTTTATCGGCCAGTATGTATTCATTTGGTCATAAAAACAATATATTTTGTTATATCAAAAATGATGTTGTTGTAAATACTGTTAAATCAGCAACCGAGGCTGAAAAGCCATTGGATATATATGTGAATCGTCGGTGACTATCACAAATGCCTTGAATGTTTAAGCCATAATGCTTCTTTCAGTTGAAATAGCTCTCTCCATGAAATGAAGGACCATATTGCAATACCATGTCACTTCTATCCAAGAAACCAATGCAACCAGGAAAACCACTCTTCTGCTCGATCTCATTTGGTATGTAATGAAACTCACTACTTCCAGGTAGTGGCCATTGTATATATTGGGCACTTAGACGTACCAGTATAATGATTACAAGATCACAATAAAGGTGAGCTGTTTCTTCTCCGATACCTAAAAGTGCAGCTCCTCTGACTGTTGAACTCCCTAATGACCCTAAGAAATACAAAGTTGTTGTCAGTTGAATATTGGTGATACTTGTAGATTCCGGGAACTGTTGTTGAAGAGAGAGTCCCTGCTGACTATTGCAGACAGCTCATAAAAGATCTTGCATTTTATTCGAAAAAATGAGATAAATTGATCTTCAGACATTGAATAAATTTGTAAAAAGTTAACTCTTTTTTTACTTTTCTATACATATTTTGTTTTTAACATACATGCTGGTTAAATAAGTACTCACTATGTGGAATAGGCTCTCGTAGTACCAGATACCACATATTTGAAATAAGTAGACCTAGTACTTTAATCTCTTCCACCAGATCCTCATCATTTTCCTTCAGACTATCTAAACTTTGAATAGAAGCTGCTCCTATGTCCCCAGTATCCTACAACTTAGTAATTAATATTGTCAGATTAAGTTTTTTAAAAGAATTACTTACTGTCTAGACTGGACACAACTCTACCAGTGGTTGCTCTTTTCCACCTCTGAGTCTGAATAGTAGTGGGAAAAGGAATTCCCAATCATCTTCCTTGAGGAGAATATTTACAATGGCATTTGACAGTCATCTATTCCCCAGTTGTGTTGTTAGTTGTGACTTTTCTGAGATTCGGGGCATCATTGCTGTCTGCAGTTTGTTTGCCAATGAGTTTTTTTTATTAGCCTACAACTCTATCTATATACCTTACTATTACCTGTCATGGACCTCTCTACCTTCATAACATAATTTACAGAAAAGTGTTGTATAGTATAGTGACGTAATGGTAAATTAGCTGTTTGTGGGTATGCCAAGCTTACATGAAACAACAAAGTAAGCTAAGGATTTTTTGTATTTTTAACTTTGAATACCCTTAGAGGTCTGGAGGTCAGTAACAGCTACAGGTCTCCATTTTACTAAACCTTACCAAAACTCAGAAGTAATACATGAAGCACAAATAAAATGATGAAAAATTCTAAAATGTTTTCAATGACTCTAGAAATAATTATCTACATTCTGTGGTAAAAATCTCTTAATGTTGACTTCTTATTGATAAAACAGGCTTTACACAATGTTTGTAAGTACCACCTGAGCCACAACACATTTTCCTTCAGTTACCTTAGTGTATTCAAATATGCTACCCCAAACATGGGGACATGATTGGCTAACATTATAAAGTAACCTAATGCAACTTTCCACTTTACTCATTACTGAGAAATCATCTTTTTAACTTTGAAAACCCCTACTGCACCGTACCATGTCCGAGGAGCGGTGATGCATCAGTCAGAGGCGGCTGGTCCCGCGTGCGCATCACGAGTACCGGTAACTTACTGTGCTTCCACAGAAGTGGTAATATATGAGTGAAGGAGTGCGAGATGGCAAGAGAAATCAAACGTGAATCTACGGGTGCTACAGGTGAGGTGGTAGGCTGCAATGAGTGGTAGACTATCAAATGTCTATCCGGTATGCATCTTCCCGAGTATGATATTGTGCTTGGTTTAGCATGATGCTTAGATATTTGGCGTGGCCCCTCCTATGTTTTGTTTCCCAAGGAGTGATCAACAGCAGTACAGTACTGTGCCACCGGTAAGCTGTAAGATATTTGCATTGTGAATGCTGAACATGACACAAGTGTCTCCCAAACCATGAGTGTCTTCTTAGCCATTATTACACCTTTACCTCATACGGTAGGGGCATCCTGTAAAACAACAACAGAAAATACATTACTTTCACTTGTTCTTGGGGCATGCATCCCCCACGTCTCTTTGTGCATCACTTAACACCTTCCTGACTAGTAACTACCGTAGCTCGTCTATCGTAGTCTGTCCATATCTTGGCCTTGTACGCCCCCACAGTCAGTTCTCTTAATAAGCGCAAGCGGATGGTGCCCTGCCATGCCTAACCACAAAGTTTTTCCGGACCATTTACAAGCCCTCCCCCCCTCACCGACCACCCAGCAGGCAGAACACTAAATACGAGTATTTAATCTGCTACTTTATGGTTCCAACGTCGCTTTTCGTGTCCTACCGTAAAAACCCTTTAGATCCACTATCGGAGATTTCAACAGAAATCACTCTCTAAACCACAATAGGCTTAGAAGAGTAGGTTAGCAAAAACAACGAATACCAGTTAATAAGATCCAGCAAACTCAGCCTCCCCAATCTACTAGGGATGATTGTCTCTAATCGGGGGATCCGATGCGTGCCTCCAAGAGGCCGCAGGCCCCTAGTTAGCCAATTACACCAAAGTAGGCTTAGCCGGGATATAATTTAGGGGTCAGCGGGGAAGTTGAATGGCTTTTTGACAAACACCACCTCATGTTTGTCGTTGGGTATGATCATATGGCGTTCGGCCACTCATGATGCACGGTGGGCGTAGTCGTCTCGCAAGCTGCAATATTTTTGCTGTTGTGGGGTTTGTGGGTCGTTGTGGAGTTCGTGGGTGGTGATCCGGGGGTTTGGTGGGGACCCCCTCCCCTTATACCTTATGATACAAACCTAGTCTATGCTAAGTGGAATTCTACCACCTACCGCCAGGGGTGCTTTGCTATGATACGACTGTCGTACCGGTGTTTGGAACTATACTGAACTTACGGTGAATGAGGAATGTTGCGACAACCTCAGGAAGATTTGTTAACTAGTGTGCTCGAGTACTCGTACGGTAATGGGACGACGTTCGCGACCGCAACTGCTATTACTACCTACTCAGGGAGAATGAAAGAATGAAGGGAGATATATAATATTCATTCACTCAACCATGATACATTTCTCCCATTATCATAGCCATATTCAATGTCACACGATAATCATCTCCGCTCACTCGCAGTATATTATTATACATCAATCGCCGCACAATCGCCGTCTCTAATTTCCATCATTACTGACCTCTTACTATTTCTCCTACACAATATCCATTGTACAGGATGGTACTCAAAGCAACCTCCCGCCTCATGCGCCCCTCGCAGGACTCGTCGCGGAAAAACATCCCTTCTTCATACACCCGACGCAAACCCATTCCGCGCCTGTTCGGCTAAGGTCTTTCGGAGAACAGCTGGAGGGGGTTGCTAGTATGTGAGGTTTCCCTTCTTTCTTCCTTCTCCTCTTCATGTGGGGAAGCTTTGGGAGGGGGTGGTAGTATCGTATTGGCTGGTTGGTTGGTTGGTTGGTTGGTTGTAGGAATACGTTCCGGGATATATTGTGTTCATTGGGTGGCCGATTTGCCACAAAGGCATATGTTCCTCTTTGCTCTTTAGATGTGGGATGGGAAGTATGCTGATTAGTATCACAACCTGTAAGTATCGTCGATTCAACCGGTGGACCATAAATATTCTATAACTGCAAAGGAATTTCAGAATTAGTCGGTAGACCTATATTAATACATCAGCCTCGATATATATATATATCGCTCGCTAGGAGATCTCCTTCATCTTTTGGTTTCTATCTTTTTATATTTATTTTATTGATGGCTATGTTTTATATTAGCCATGCGCGAAATCTGTTAGAGGAAGGAAACGGAATATACCATACGATCCGGCCCCATTTCCCAAAAGCCCTTTGTGAGAGCGTTGCAGCGCAGGTACGCTCTAGCAAGAGAAGGAAGCATCTTATCGTGAGCTAGGCATTTGCTTTTGCCGACGGGCGGATATTCGCCATCTAAAGGGTAAAACAAGAATAAAAAAGTGTATGTACAGATCCGGCCACTAAGAAACATTACAGTCACATCAACACCCCCGATCCAGATACCCGACGGCCCCCACCCATCCCGACCGTGCACCCTCTCGCACAATCCATAGGATATCAACCCCGCAGGTCAGTCAAAACTACCCCTTCAACTTCTCCACCACATTCCCAATCGTATCCTCCACCCCCTCCCGTGTGCTCCTCAAATCCCACCCCTGCACCCTGCGAACAATCTTCTCGATCTCCCAATTCCACGTATCCTTCAAGGTCTCGACAAAGCTAGGTCGCTCGAGCGTAGGGTCCCGGTTCTTGGGAACCTGTTTGGGGAGGAGTATCGAGTCTGCAATCTGGCGAGATTCGCGCAGCGATGTTGAGTGTGCTCTTGTGTTTGCGTTTAGGTGCCGGAGTGCTAAGTATGCGATTGAGCCTGTGAGGATGGTACCGCCGAGCTATGGGAAATTTATCAGTTCGGGCCTGCTCGGCAGCAGCGGGAGGGGGAACCTACGAAGCCACCTATTATACCCATTGTGGTTCTGTGTTTGGGCTGGATGGGATGGTACCAGATGATTAGTTTGTGGTTGGCGGAGATCGTTTGGGTGGGAATTGTTGGAGCTTGTGAAAGTTTCTTTCGAAGGCAGGCCGGGTAACACAAGTGTTCCGAAGAGTCCCGGTGGTTCCTACCTCTTTCGGAGCCAATAACCTATGGGGTACTGTACCGGTACTCGTATTACGAGAACGCTCGTGAACAGCTATCATAACTCAGGTTAACCTGCAATGTAATCCCTGTTTCGTATGACGACATCTGCCCGGTATTTACACGCCAAATACCGGTACCCGAGTATTACTATCCTGTCTGTAAATCGTATACTTTACCCAACCTTTAGTACTCGTACTGGTAGACTACAACAAGTGTCGAGCCAGTTCCTATGGTACCGGGGGGCCTCTATTATTTATATCATACGGTACTATAACTCTGTAGATTGCCGCCCCCAAAGCAGGGTAATTAACGGTAAAATCCGGATCCACCCACTATTCAACCCCACCAATCTCAATTCAATCCAATACCCAACCAAACAATCGCGCTTCACCTTCACCTCCTCCCGTCCCCCCAAGGGCCACAAACCGCGAGCACAATGGGTGGCAACAAAGCCTTCCGAGCGCTCAGCCGGAGCAGCGCCCACCGTAATGCACTCCTTCGAAACTTGGTAACGGCCCTAGTAAAACACGAATCCATCTCAACAACCTACGCAAAAGCGAAAGAAGCCCAGGCAATAGCGGAACGAGTTATAACGCTAGGGAAACAGGAAACAGACGCCTCCGTGAAGCAATTAAAGAAAATTCTGTTTGTACGTCAGCCATCCCGCCCTTCCCACACCGCCGGATTAAGCACACGAACGCTAACTCACACCAACAAGGTCCCAGAAGAAACCGCCCCCCGCGTCATGAAAGTCCTCGTGCCCCGTTACAGATTGCGACAAGGCGGGTACACACGAGTTCAGCGGATCGAGCCGTTGCGAACAGATCAAGCCGAGAGCGCGATCCTAGAATTCGTAGACGGGCCACGAGATATGCGCTTCGCGCTGACGGCCAAGACGATCGCGCGCTCGAAGAAGGAGGGGGGGGAGCTGTCGGATATTACACTACTAAATATCAAGAAAGTTACCCAGTTTCGGGTTAATGGTGAGAAGGAGTTGGAGGCTGAGGTTAAGAAATTTGAGGAGAGGATGTGAAAGATGTGCGAGGCGGATCGAGCGGCGGAGGAACGGGAAGTAGAATGGAGGGGAGAGGGAGTTTGTAGATTTGCGGCATTCGTCGGCAGGCTCTTGGGCAGTGGATTTAAAGTGAAGCTTGAGTTTATGATGTTAGATTGGGAGGTTTTGCATTAAATGTATCATATCATATCACGATAGACTTCCCCGGACAGTGCGATACCACCGGACCATCCACTACTGCTACCATTATCCCACAATTCCCATACTAACCCGCCCACCAACACACAAAAAACAAGGATGCCTACCCTCCCTTCAAAAACAATTACTACCCCCCTTCTGGTCATCTTCGGTCCCTCCGGTGCAGGAAAATCCACCCTTCTCAGCCGCCTACTCAACAATCACCCCAAAATCTTCGGTTTCTCCGTATCTCGTAACCTCCCCTCCCCACCCAATATCCTCACACTACCCCGGAGGCTGAGAAAAAACGGACAGATACCACCCGCCCACCTCGCCCCGGAGAAACCAATGGAAAACACTACCACTTCACAAACCGCACCAATTTCGAAGCTCTCAGAGCACAAAATCACTTCATAGAGTCGGTCGAGTTCGCCGGGAACCTTTACGGGACAAGCGTCGGCGCTGTGAGGGATGTTACAGATAGCAGGAGGGTGTGCATTCTTGATATCGAGTTGATGGTTAGTCATCCCGTTGATTATAATTGCACCATGTTACAGTTCTGGGGGGCTGATCTTTTTGCGAGGGAGGACAGGGCATCAAGCAGATCGAGAGTAATCCATATGTGCAGTCCAGGCGGGTTCTAATCAAGCCTCCGGATCACGAAACGTTACGGAGGAGACTACGGAAGCGTGGGACAGAGCCGCCGGACGTCGTGGAGGCCCGCCTGACTAGGGCATTGAGTGAGCTGGAATTTGCCGAGGGAAGTGGCATATACGACAAGGTCATCGTCAACCAGAACGTTGACCTAGCTTATCAGGAATTGGACGAGTATTCAATGTCGCTCTATCGATCCGTAAACAACAAAAGAGATCATGTTTGAAATCCCAGCTGGGGGTCTTTGTAGAATCCCATGCAACACACACGGTTCGACCGAAGGAGGAAGGAGGAAGGAAAAGGGGGAGGAACACCATTCACCTCGGAAGGAGGATTTGTGGAAGAAAAAAAAAATTTCAAGCTGAAAGTTTAGAAACTATAAATGATATAGAGAACAGTGATCAGATTGATCTTTGGAGATCACACCAATTTCAACTAGCTCCACGACCCCGAGTGGGTGAATAAACTATCAAATAGGGATACAAGGGAAATAAAATGCTCACAGGATATAGAGAATTACAAAGAAAGACTCCCCGACATTACTAAGTAAAAGAAGCGGGAATTACAGAGAGGAAAAAGAAAGAAGAAAAGAAAAAATTGAAGAAAAGGCAGCCCCGCGCTTTTTTTTTAAGGTTCCCATGAAAAATCATATTTGAATTGTCCACCCACACAATCTGGTCGCGCGCCCCTTCATATCAACGATCTCCACACCTTCACCATCACCAAATTTAATAACCGTTGATTGTCATCCTGTGTTGAGAGCCTCTGCTCAACTCCCTCTCAGCAGCTGGTGAAATAGGCCTACTACTTCCCGCACCAGCGGCACTGGACTCCTTCAGAGCCAAAAGTTGCTTTGCGCGGAAAGTCTCGTAGTGGATCTGAGAGGTCGTCTCAATTAGATCCTGAAGATGAGTGCGGGTAAGGAAGTTTCGTAGAAAGACGAATTCGCAGTGGTTTTCATTCTCAACTATTCCAATCAGCATTCGAGAAGCGGGCATCCAGGATTAAGCCATATATACCATTAATGACACCCCATCTGTTCTGGCGACCACGAACCTGCTTCCCATCTACGATGATTGACTTCTCTGAACCAACAACGGCGAAGGGAATGATGTTTTTGATCTGTGCATTGAGAGCACGCTCCTCCTCGTCCAGCTCATCGTTGTCGTAAGGGTACATTTTGAGGTTATGGAAGGTAAATTCTTCTCTAATTCTCTCCTTAAACGCAGCACGTTCTTCTAAAGTTAGGGAGTCGGACTTAGCAATGACGGGAACGACATTAACGACATCGGAAAGCTTCTTGAGGACAACAATATCAATGGGCTTGAGGCTGCTCTGAACATTAAATCAGGATCCTAAATAAAACGAAGAACAGAAACATACGCGTGTCCCGAAGGCTGGATGAAGAAAAGACAGCAATGGATACGTGTGTCCTGGATGTAGCGCTCCCTCTGCGCCGTAAGCTCCTTGCGAAGGTAGGCCGAGTGCTGGTCCTTGATATATTTGACGATAGGGTCCCAGCTAAGCATCACGTCAGCTTCCGATCACCCTCCACCATCACGTATAATATGAGATACCATCTATCATTGTTAACCTGGTCTCCGTAACCAGGTGTATCAACAATGTTCAGTCTGAGACGAACACCATTCTCCTCGATAACTATTTTATATTAACCCCACATCCTCCAAGAGTTGCAAGAGGGAGTACATACTGTGGGAAACAGTTTGAATCTCAGTGGTAGATCGCACGGGCTCATCGGGAGTGAGACGGCCCTTGGAATCGATAAGATGGGCAGCAAAAATAGTGTTGATCAGGGTAGACTTCCCAAGGCCAGTTTGTCCTACAGCAGAGTTAGTACAATTGCACAAGCAGACAAAGGGGTAAGGAGTATCGTTATATATACCAACACAGATGACATTGAATTGGAAACCGCGTTTAAGCAGCTTTCGCTCAATTTGAGAGGTGATGCTGTCGAAACCGACATGGCTTCGGGGGAATACGGTTGCAGCTTGCGACATAATTGCTGTTGGTAAAGTATGAAGGCGGCTGTCGTTTGTGAGAACGAGACGTGTTCAAAAAAAAAGAAAGAGAGTGCAGAGCGGGGAGATAGGGAGAAGGAGCAAAATGGATGGAGCTTCCGCAATTCAATACCTCCTAGGAGGAAGGGGGAGGTAGACAGGTTAAGGTTGGGGTGGCAGAGGGAAGAGCACACAAGCAGGAGCAGTAAGCAGCGGAAAAGGGGTTGGAAGCCGCCGGGAGGTGGATTATTCGCTGTGGTTCCAGTCTTGGCGGTGAAGAAAATACTAATTGGCATTGGACCAATACAATGTGGTGCAGGGTTGCTTATTATGGGTGAACCCTAACCCACCCTTCGTCCTGCCAACGGAAAAAGCAAAATTACATGTAGGCCAAGCCCAAAACCCCAATCTCATTCCCCCCACCATACAGCTAAATCGATAGCCCATCGTGGGCGAACACACCAAACCCCCCTGCCAATACGGCTCTGCTACGCTCTTCCTACCTCCCAAATTCACAACTGCAATGGCAACTCCTCTCCTCTCGGTCACTAGGCTTAGTATTCTTCACTCAATGGGATCATTCCTTCCAATTCTCCCTACCACAATCCACCTCAACATACCAAACCCCTTACCCGGTATTTGGGAATCTATTCTCCGGGCCGTACCCAAGAAGAAGCAAAGCCACTCGAGAAAACGAATGCGGCAATTGGCCGGGAAGGCTTTGCAAGACATCACTGCCCTCAATAAATGCCCGGCTTGTGGAAAAGTCAAGAGGCAAAATATGCTGTGCGAGCCATGTGTGGACGAGATCAAGAGCATGTGGAGAGAGGAGGCTGCAGAAGAGGCTGCGGCCAAGGAAGGTAGGGCAATTACAACCCCATAAGTCGACGAGGCAAGGGAGCGGAGTGCAAATGGGAGTGATTGACAGGGAGCCGGCGGAGGCTGCGGGACTGTGCTACATTTGGAGCTATGTTTTTTTTCTGTTTTTTCCCTCTTTTTTTGTTTGGTGGAGACGGGAGTGTGGCCAATGGTAGCCAAGTGAAGCACGTTCATAGATGAGAGAGGATGCGTGGGTCTGGAAAACAAAGTGGGTTTGGCATGATATTTGGAGTATGATATGAGTTGAGGCTGGATGGAAACGGAAAATGTACAAAACATAGAGATCCCGACAAACTATCAATTATGATACACAACCTCCTTCCAGTAGCTTTGTCAAGGGAGATTTTTGGGTGTGCTAAATCTTTGCACAGACTAATAGACTGCTCCCTTGCCCTAAGAAACGGATACCCCTTCCCCGCTGTGGGGCAGACAAGCCAGGCTGTTGAGCCTCAATTCGGCATACCTTGGTGACGCGTGCACTCTCGACCCCACCATGTCGCACGCTTTTTATTCCTTCCCCTCCTCCTTATTCACAAACACGATTATTTTAATTTTCATGCGCCCAGGACACTCAGACCATGGTGGGTTAAAAATCACCCTGCATTCCCCTAAGCTTCGAACCACTACTAACACCCTAGGTCTAGTCGAAACAATATCTGACAGAACATGTGGTTGAAAACGGTGAGTATCAGATTCTGCAGGCTTTACACTTGGCAGATGGCCTAGCTTATGAATAGCAGCACATCCTTCCGACATATTTGCTATTGCAGCCAATCCAGCATACGCTATTTCTGCTGGAGGGGACTCAAGCATACAAGTTTGGAGCCTACACGAGCCAGATCACCCTCTAGTTCATAAGTTTGAGAATGCACATCCCCTCGGAGTTCACCATCTTGCTACCAACAAAGATGGCAGGTTCGCGGCAAGTTCTGGCTTTGATGGAGCAATCAATATATGGGATCTCGAGACTCTTTCTCACATTAAGCAGATCGCAAGTCTGTCGCACCCCCGAGCTTCATTTTTTGACTCCCGTACTCACAGGGTGTCTTCTACTAGAAGGGAGATCATCAGGCGAAATTTGGGCCATTGCCCTGTCACCTACTGGAAGCTTTATGTCTGCTACCACTTATAATGGAAGGGTATGTGTCTATGATGTCTTTGGAGCCGGTGAAAAAGTCCGGGAATATGAGACAAAAGGAAGCTTTGGAATGAGTGTTGATATTGTAAGGATCTCAGCTATTGGCATTTTTTCCCGCTCTCTTTTCTCAACCAAATGTCTCATCTGAAGCAGTCTACAGATGGGAGGCTTGTAGCTTCGGGGCACGAGAATGGCGGAGTTTACATTTTTAACAATGAGACCGGCAAAATACACCACTCATTGCCCGGTTAGTTCACAAACTCACTACCCGGCGGCTTATTCTAACTCGTCCAGGCCTCATCAAAACAGTCAGATCCGTAGCATTCTCTCCAGGAGGAAGACTACTCGCGGCAGCAGGCGACTCCAATATAATTGCATTGTACGATGTGATATCTGGGGAGCAAGTTGGGAATCTGTCCGGTCATAGTAGCTGGATCTTTTCGGTTTCTTGGAGCAAAACTGGCGAATATATTCTCAGTGGGTAAGATTTAGGCCGCTGTGATATCTTTTTTCCGCACAAGCACTGACCAGCCTGGCTCGATAGTGCTTTTGACGGAAAAGTCAAAGTCTGGTCGACCGATACGAAGACCTGTGTTGCAACCCACACGGAGAACGATAAAGCTCTGTACGGGGTAAAATGGATTCCCAAATCCTCCGGTATAGGCGAAGGATTTCTCACAGCTGGAGCGAACGGGAAGTTATGTTTTTACCGCGAAGCAACAGGCAGCTGAAGATACTCTCCGAACTCGATCCTTAGCTAGTATACCAGAACAGAAGTAAAAATAATAATAATAATAAACTTAATCAAAAATCCACGAAACCATATACCAGTACCTGTATCAAATTTTTATGCCAAGGTAATAGATTTCCATAAGATATATTTACAATCCAATGAGATGCGAGGAAGGTGTTTTCTTCAATATGGAGTGCACAATTGCCATCCTATTCTACCCATTGGCTTTCCCCTCAACCTCCAACTCCAACAAACTTCCCTATTCTATCCTCAAAAATTCTCATTAACTGCCCACTATCTTCTGTGTGTCTCCTCCAGTCGTTCAACCATTATACCGGTATCCTTCTTCTTTCTTTTCACCGAATTGAACCCCCTTTTAAACCCTTTTCTCCAACTGGATGCCACTCTAGAACATCTATAAGTCTACTGTTTTTACCACCGTCGTCTCGGTCATTGGGTTCCTGATTCGCCGCCATATCTCCCGCGGTAGGAATTCATTGCTGACCATGCCTTTGCAAATGCATGCGTTCTCGCCTGTTTGAACGAGCAGGGCACCTTGAGCGACATTGAGAAGCTCTGCGGATCCGACAAGATTGGAACATACCTCCCCTCCAAGTGCGGCGACACACTCAAGGATGCCCAGGACCACTTCACAAACACCTGCAGGGCAAACCGCCATACTGTTTGTACGTACTTTCCCAATACAGCTTGTTCCCATACTAACCAACCCAGCACTCGGACTCCCTTCCACAAAGTCTGGTTCCGCTTCTTCGAGGTCGGTCCCTTACCCATATACCATTAACCCTCCCCCCTCAGCACTCTCTCATCTTTACACGGAGCAACCTCTTCCTGCTTTGCAACTGTAACCTCCTTTGAACCTCTCGTCACTGGCACTAGCACTAGAGGATCACTAACCGATGGGTCTGGCTCTAGCCGTAATGGGACCATCTCAACCCCTACCACTGCTCTATCTGCTGTCGCGGTAACAGCGCGTCTTCATTTAACGTTATGGGCGGTGGATTTGCATTAGCAGTGTTGGTTGCAGGGTTTGTGTTGTGATTTATCGGTTGAGAAAAGCGCAGCGGTGGGAATAGGTGGTTTCCGTGTTGGAGTCCCGGCACTTGCGTTCTAAGGGAATTAGAGTAGAGGAGTTATAGTAAGCGATGCATTCTGTGCAATTGGATAATATGATATTATACTATCCTTTCCCATCTACTGCCCCCTAATACCGTACGGACGCCCTTTCTCTAGGACGCGACTTGCAGTAGTTCGAACATCGGTGGGAGGAGCGACCCGGACATGAAGGTTATGGTGATGCATGGACCAAAATTAAGCAACATGGAACTAAGCAACAATAAACTCAGAAATAGAATTCTGGAGAGTTTTGGTAGTGCAGGACAAGATGCGACCGCCATGTATTCCACGCCTATCCAATTCTCTTCGGTTCTTTGATTGCACGTCCTTACGTTGATTGACAGCGCAACATGTTATCATCCTGGAAAGCCGAAGGTGCGCGAGTGATAATGTCGCATGATCACGCTGGCTGCGCCGGCCCAGAAGCTTGGAATATTATTACCACGACGAGTGACGGAATATGATTACAGCTGCCAGATCGCGGCGCAGAACCACCCGTATCCGCCTACCACACGGGTCTCGGCAGATATTTTTATCGCCCTAACGGTTTCAGATGCAGACTTATCCCACCGAGGGTGAGGATCATAGACTTTGTATATGGGAAAATGGGTTTTGAGAATGTGAAATAATCCGTTACTAGAGCCAAGGGGAAACAACGCCCATGTATGCCGTGTACACTATAAGAAAAACCCTCCCAGGTCCCCCCACGGAGGGCTGACTTTTTGAGATTCGCTACCAGACAAAGAGACATCAACAATTTTTTTATTTAGATTTTGATGGCCGCGTCCAATGCCTTCTGCTTCTTGGCTATATTTCCAAAGGGGTTGTGTTAATTACTGGTCAGATGTAGCATGGGAAGTGGAGTTTACTCACCAACTTTAGCATTAGCCTTAGCTCCCATGATACCGCCACCCCAATGTCTCTTAGATTCCTCGTACTTGTCCGAGTACCCTTCCTTGACGGCAGTGATGAGCTTGGAAAGCTCGCTCTTGTCCTCACTGCGAACCTCAGTGATAGCGAGGACAGCAGCAGTCTGACAGTCATGTCAGTGGTGTGCACGAAACGGTGGGAAAATGGAAATATAATGAACCTTCTTGTGAACAACAGTCCCCAAGCGAGCCTTGCCCTTGATGATGGCGTACGGGACACCCATCTTTCTGCAAAGAGCGGGAAGGAATATAACCAACTCAATGGGGTCAACATCGTTGGGGATGAGGACCAACGACGCCTTCTTGTTTTCAATTAATCCAACAACGTGGTTGAGACCATACTTAACGACGTAGGGCTTCTTGGAGACATCTTCCTTCTTTTTTCCGTCAGCGACGGCAGCAGCTTCCTTGGTCAAACGCTCCTTCTTCTCAATCTTGGTCTCAGGGCGATACTTGTTGAGGAGGCGGAAGGTTTGGGTAGCAAGATTCTTGTCGAGGACATTCTGGAACTGGGCGATCGCTGGGGGGACCTTCAGGCGAAGGTTGAGGACCTTCTTCTGGCGTTGCAGGCGAACATACTCGGGCCATTTAACCATGCGGGAAAGGTTGCGCCTGGGTTGGATGTCTTGCCCAATGCCATAGTTGCGGGGGCGCTTCTCGATAAGAGGGTTCTATAGTTGTATTAAGCGTAAAGAATGGTAAGTATCACGACAACACCGTTGATCAAAATCTCAACCGATAGAAGTAGAGAGAAATTCAGGGAGGAAAAAGAGCTCACCTTGGTCTTCTTGGAAATTCCAGCGCGACGCTCGCCGAACGGGGCGGCCGTGACTTTTTTTCCTTTTGACACTTTCGGGGGCTGGTCATCAAGAGATTTTGAATCAGTGAAAAGCTCAACAGAAGACAAAAATCCTCTCTACAAGTCTCGCGGTATTTTTTGCAAAACAGCGCACGAGACTACAGCCGAAAGGGTGAAACGGAATTTAAGCAGGTTTATAAAAAAGATCATAAAACTCCCGCATCCATTACATTTCACCCCAATGCACGTTCGAAATTCAGAGCTTTCGGAAAAGATGAAAAAATGAACGGCTGAGAAGAGCTCCAACCGCAAAGAAATATATCCTCTTTGGTATTCTTCAATTCTCACAATCTCGTTCTCGAAGTGAGAAACGAATTATGGATCCATGGTCGATGCGCCCACAGCAGCGGCTAGACGGGTGTGAAAAAAAAAAGCAAAACAGGGGGGAAGTACCATAGTGAATTAGATTCCTGTTAAAGTTGGGTATTGTCGTTAGTACGCAGACGTCGTGATAGCCGTGAGTTTGGAGATGAGGTTGAGGGGGTATTTTTTTTTTGTATTGTGGGAACCGGGATCTCGTTTCTGTGTGGCGTTGAGTGACTGTTTTTTTTTTGGGGGGGGGGAGGTGAGTGTGGGGTTAGTGGGGTATCGAATGTTGCCCACGCTAATTTGCCGGTATCATACTTGAGTACACGTACAGTATGATACCATTCTGTACGGGATTACGGTAGACTATCACACAAGCGGGCATGCAAGGGCGAATGAGTAAGTTACCCCCGTTTTATAGATATGGCTTAGTGATCAGATATTATGCTCTGGTTAGAATTATTGGAGCTTGAGTGGTATCACACTTGTACGAGATACTTGTACGAGATACTTGTAAAGTACCGGAGTACGAGTATTATACGTTACTCCAGTATTAAGGAGATCCTATTCGAGTAGAGCTGAAGGGACAATGATATCATTCTTAATTAGGCTAATGACCAATGGCGGGCTTGAGCCTTTGAATCATGAAAAACCACCCAAGCATTTCAACATTTGAGCTAATCAGTATCGAGGCCGCGGACAATAAATCAGAGACCGAAGAAAGGTAATATCAAAAGTATATTATGAAACGGTGCTAATTAAGGAAAGAATTGCTTTCTTTCTTCAGATGATAGATGCACTTGGGGCTCTCCTACTTATAGTAGCCAGCAGTGTTTATATACATCAAAATTACTCTTGCCAAATCTCAAAGTCTGAAGTAGTATGGTATGTGTCCTGACATGCATGCTTTCCATCACATTGAAGCCATAGATCCGACGATCAGTGTTCACGTCCCAAGAGCGTTCACCCACACGACAGGCTAATTATCATGTCGCGAATCTGGCACTTCTCTGCCACATCCAATGCAGCACAGGGAGTAATTGTAGGAAAGCTCTATTCGACAGTCTTATAAGTTCCACAGGAGACATGAAATAGTGGCATCCATAACCTCTGGAATAAACTGAAAAATATTAGGTGGGGGTACTTTGTGCCGGTAGCAAGTTCAACTCCGAATGAAATGAGATGTTATACAAAACGCCCCTCAGAATAAAGAAAGAGAGACATGATAATAACCGGCCTACCCTAATGCGGCAACAGACGAGGAACTTAAAAAAATAAATATGAGTAATAGAAACTAGTTTTTTACTCGCTTGGGGTCGTTTCCATAAGCTGAGGTTTGTGTGTTCAGTCTTGTTTCTGAGGAATCTCCAAGGGTTGATCTTCCGGGACAGCTACGAGCAAGTTAGTATGACTATAGAAACCGGAGAAGATATCTAGGTGCCAGCATACCTTGCTGCACTAGCAGTGCTTGCATCGGCTGGGCGTTTGATACCACCGACTGATGGCGTAGGTTGGCGGAAAGAACTGGTCCCACGAGGCAGAGGAGGCTGGCCTATTTGCCTGTTTAACTCCGAGCTTGGGTTCTCAAAGTTTTTGCGCGCAAATGGTGAGCCAGTACTGCCACCAGCCTGAATCTGCTTTCTGGGGACCGGTGAAGATTTCGAGTGATCAATGCCGGCAGAGCGCGGGATTGTAGATTCCTTGTGGGGATTGAATACGTGATCTGGTGGAATAACCCCATTGTCACCTTGCAGGACCTTTTGGTTATTCTTGGGGTCAAGTAGGACCTTACTTGTGAAGAATCCAACATGGGCACTGACAGGCGTCTCAGGCAGCCCGTTAAGACTGGAAGCCGGAAGCGCTGGTGCAGGTTGCGGGATTGTATGAGGTGGTGGTGATGTTTTTGGACCCGGTTGTTGAGCGTTGCGAATATTATGAGAAGTGTTAGCCATTAAGTTCACTCGTGATCCCATTTGACCTGTAGGGGTTGGTGTACGAGGCCCCTGGGGCGCATTAGGAGGCTTTTGAAGGGGCCTTTGCCCGATCGTTGGGTTTTGAGGTGGCAGTTGTGGACCACGATTTTGTGTCTGAAGGGGGTGGGATTGCTGAGGCGGCGGTTGCGCTGGAATATTAGAAGTGCGTACATGTTGACCATTTTGTCCTTGTTGTAATACTGGGACCGAGACACTGTTCGGATTCTTTGGGACAATCGAAGACTGGTTTCCGCCTGCTCGAGCCACCATGGATTTAGCTCCAGTAGGGGTTGGCGGAGTGGGTCGTTTGAAGACGTCATCACTAGAACTGAAAGAAGATTAGTACAAACAAGCTATCACAATTGAATGTGCTCACGCTGCTTCTACCGTGTCCTCATCTGGCACGTGCTCACTATAATCATCGCCATCTTCAAAAGCTCCTAAGTAATCATATTCATCGCCTGTATACAGTTAGTAAGAAGTGGCTGCGGCCGGAAAAGGATTCAAACCTCCATACTCATCGAACCCCTCGGCCAGGTCTAAAAAGTCATTAGTTCTCAGATTCCTCTAATATTTGAGTGAAAAACATTACCATTCTCAGATATAATTTTCTCGCGGGGAACCTCTGACAAACTCTCCGGCAGACCAGGAGTTACGAGACTTTCCTCTTGCTTTAAGATACGATCACGAATCGACCGAGGCTTGTAATAGTTTGGCTCCTGAACGGGCTGTTACGCAACCAGTCAGTAATTGAAATGATAGACTAACGGTTTAGATGCACCTGAACTGCTTTCATCCTCCTCGTCCCTTTGATATGCTGTTTATCATACAGACAATTCCCCAAAGCATTTCCAAATGTTCTGAAGGTTCGCTTGAGAGCATCCGTAACAGCCTGCTTCTTCGAAGCGATGATGGCAGCTGACTTAGTCCTTTGGTTATGAGATTCACCGGTCCCAATATCCTAAGTGCATCGGTAAGTTTCTGATGGTGTAGATATTCGCCAGGAGAAGAGAGGGATGTACCTCGCGAAAAGTTCCGTCCTTGAGAGTGATTCGTAAATGAACGGAGGTGGTAACATTCCATTTCCCGTGGCTTTCTAAACACTATGGCAAAACATCCTTTAGCATTCAAAGCCATTAGTATCCTAAGGTACCCGGGGAAACACAAACCTCGTCGACTGTAATATCCTTAATCTCCGAAGACCAACCATTGAACCCAAAAATCTCATTAGCTAAGGTGATAGCGACATCGCCCCTAAGATACGCCACGCTGCTACCCCCAGATGCTGGTCGATAATTGAGATATTCAGGGCCAAGCATGCCATCAAGCTGCGTCTGGAGGCCCTCCTGCTCCGGCTTAGTGTAAGGAATCACCCGCTGCGAGGTGTCCCAGGAGGACATGGTGGGTCGGTGATTTGGTGGGGGTGGAGAGGGGGTCGTTGCACGTTTTTCCAACAGTTTGTGGAATTATATGACGGCACGGTTGGTGGGAGGATCAGTTTCCACTCTTGAAATGTCGTGGGGCGGGTTTTTGGAGGATATCAACTGCTCGCAGGAGCTTGATGGGGTTCTATCGGGGTTTGAAAATGGGAAGACGCGGGCACGCGCCACGCTGCTCAATCTAATCTAGCCTTGAGCGTGACTCACCAGCGTTCGGTCAGGGTGTTACCCGGCGCAGCAATCCCCGCGATTGTTCGGTGCGACCTATCATACGAACCGCCCCGGAAGCAGTGCTTGATCAGACTTTGTCCGTTGAACAAGTATGCTAACCACGTTGGGAATCCTAGGCGGGTAGTTTAAGCTAAAGGAGGTTAAAACATTGTATCATAATCGGGTAGGTCATGAATTCATGGTAAAGAGCGCGACAGGACAATGTCGCCGACAGGATAATGTCGCATGAAGGATGGGGTAAGATATTAATAATGATTCTCATAATAGGAAACTTTCTTATACCAGTACTAATACTGCTATAGGATAGAACTTATACCAGTCGATAAACTTCAGACTTGACCACCTGTGTGATTCCTCAATCATATCATCACCAATATTCGTACAAGCTTGCTTCTTACATTTTGTTATCCTATTACGCTGTTCTGCTTTCCTTTCCTATTGCCTTTCCCTTTCCCTTCTCCTTCCCCTTCCCCTTCCTGAACACCCATACCTTTCCCTTCCCCGATATCTTTCCTTTTCGCTCTCCTGATGCACTTCCCTTTGCCTTCCCCAATATCTTTCTCTTTCCCTTTTTCAATACTCTTCCCTTTGCCTTCCCCGATGTTCTTTCCTTTCCCTTTGCCTTCTCCATTATCTTCTCCTTTTTCTTCCCTATTGCTTTCCCTTTCCCCTTGCCTATAAACATTCCCTTTTCCTTCTCCAATGTCCTTCCCTTCCTCCTTCCCCTTCCCTTTTCCTTTACCTTTCCTATTGTCCTTTTCTTTTCCTTTTCCACTCTTCCTACTACTCCTATTACTTCTTCCATGTCCTTTAGTCAAAGCCTTTCTCTTACGCTGCTTTTCTTTTTCCTTTGTATCCCTTTTTCTCTTTTCTGCCTGTATGTATTCTCCGGTGCACAGGGTAGACTTCCCCACTGTAGGATCTGAAATAACTCTTCTATCTCATTTAGTCCCCACAAGCCTTTCAACCTCTGCACGAGCTCTACTAAGTTCTGCTATTGTCATTGCTACCTCGACTCATGATCTATCTGCTTCATCAGATAAATCATTAAGGGTAGACTTCATTGTTAGTAGAAAGCTGGGAGAGAAATCGCCATCGTGGTTGTCTGAATTCCGTCGTAGGATTTCTTGGTTTAGGTGGTTTATAGTACTGGTTGTACGTTTCTGAAGAGAGCTTGAAGAATATCGTGAAGTTGAAGTACTATCCGGGATGAAGGGGTCAGGTGATTCTGAAATGGATGTAGGGTAATGCTGCTTCTGAGAGGGTAATAGGGCTTTAACTAGCTCATGGTTGATTGGAAAAATCCCTGTTTTTTGAAAGGCCATGGAAGGTAAAGAGGCAGCTAAAATGAAGGTCTTTTGGTGGGCAGGGTGTAGGAAGGTAAGAAAATTATGTTTGCCGATACCAGTAATACTGGTATTAACTAAGTGTCCGATTTCATTTGAATAAAAGTGTTGTAAAGTTGAAAAAACACCAACATCAAGGGATTGTAAAATATGAGTAGTGTGGGGAGGAAGACTGTGAACAAGAATCAAATGATTCCAACAGAATTTAAGCGTATCAAGCCTTATATGGGCTTTAAGTCCATCAACCAAGAGAAGTTTCCAGTTACTATTGGCTCGCTCTCGTGTAGCTGGTACAAAAATCTGAACAATCTAATCATAGTAATGGTCCCTCCATCTATCCAACTATTTTGTGAATGGCCATAGCTGTATTCCTCTAAAGCTGGTCCGAGAAGCTCTGAATTAAGTGCTGAACACTATCATTTCCGATAGGTAAGTGCCTTAAATATGATACAAGGCTGTCCTACCCATCCATCGGCTCCAATACACTCCAGAACTTTAATCGGTTCCCGATTTCCATCATTTGTAGCTGTTGACATTGCCGATGTTCACATATGTGGATCTTTTCTAACTACCACCTGTGCTGTATTTCCAACTCCAATAAGAAACCCCTTCTCATCTAAATTATATAGGTTTTCAGGTGTAATATTAGTAAAGTCAATTGCCTCATTTAACTAGTAGATTTCATTATTTAAGTTTAATGAAACTGCTACTATATTGGTAGTACTAACCTGATCAAAAAAAATATCTATTGTAGAGCTCTGTTCTGGACTATTGAGCAATGTACGTACTTGTGTTATACCAGTACTCCATTTACTCTCGTAATTGTGTCTTTTAAGAACATTTACAGTTTAGTGTTGACCAACCGTTGCCGTTGTACTTTTGATTTTATGCTGTAATATCCAATTCCCCCAAGCTTTCAATGTACTTGTAGTGACAGGAAAGTTCATGCAGGCTAATCGATCACATTTTTTGAGAAGTTGAGCCTCTTCTAAAACTTTATATTTATTAGTATACTAGTAAATTATTACAAAGTTGCAGAAATATGGATAGATTAAATACAAGATAACTTTTGCCTTGCTCTACTCTCCTCTATCCAGGACTTGTTGATACCTTTTGTCCTACGTCGAAGGGTTCTCAGGTTTGTATTATGTATAATCGCACAAGCCTGCAATGATTTGTAATCCTCCCGATGCTCCCTAAATGCTGTTAAAGCCATTTCAATTCTCTTCTCTTTCCTCATGCTCTCCTTAAATACCATATTCAATAATTAAGCAGTCAAAAGGATAAAATAAAAGTAGGTAAGAAATAAAAAAGGTTTTCAAAGTCAGTATTTCAATTGGTGTTGCTGTTGTTCTTGGTTCTTATATTTACCAGAAAATACATCTATCGTTATCATGATGCTACTAGTATTACTATACACTGTGCTTAATTCTTATTGGCTACTTCTGGTCCTTACTAATTTACTTCAACATTCTCCGTCAGTAATGACATTATCCTGTCGGCGAAATTGTTCTGTCGTGCTCTTTACGGAGTAGGAGTAGTACCTGGTAAGTTTAGGTGGCACTTTGGTACACTGTAACTGAAGCAACAGTTTAACAGAAAAAGTAATTATATGCTATGATGCAGAACATCTTAAACTAAACCCTTTACTAAGGTCTCCTCTCATCTTAAGTTGATGGTATTTTTGACTACAATATTTCTAGACAAGAAACAAAATACTAAACGGTAGATCAATACATTCTCTAAATACGGATAACAAAATTGCAATGAATTGTACAAATCCCGTAATAGAATTTTGTGTCAATCAATAGTTCCTAAAGTTTTATAAAATAAATTTGGAAGTGAGGAGTTTAATAGGACTCACCGAAGTTCTATTACCAATTAGCTATCAATATACCATTAATTTGACTAAGTTGCTATAGGAATTGTAGTAGACATTAGTCTACTAAGTGAAGGTACTGTTAGATAGGCACCTCAGTTGGACATACTATATTATACTACAAGTACTAAGATACTAGTAAGATGTGGAGGTTAACCTACTGTAACCGGTACGGGTACTCGGTTATTGGTTTTGTTTTATATTTTGTTTTAAGTATCGCTTTGATACTTGGTTTGTTTTAAGTATCACTTTGATACTTGGTTTGTTTTAAGTATCGTTTGATACTTGGTTTTGTTTTATGTTGTGTTTTAAGTATCGCTTTGATACTTGGTTTTGTTTTATATTTTGTTTTAAGTATCGTTTTGATACTTAAGGAGTTTTACCAAAGAGTATCAATTGATGCCTTTGATTAGTTTCGTTCATGCTAGATATGAACAGATTTGTGTATTTAAAGACCGCCTGTTTCTACGATAGAAAAGGCAGACTTCGACAGACAGTATTTCAATATACTTGGTTGAACGGTTACTTCTTTGTTCCTCAGTACACCCTCGAAGCCTCCTTTAGTTCTCAGCTCTTGTCTCCTCTCTGGAAGAGCAGGCCACCTGCCAACTATCGTATCAATTAACGATAACGTGAATAGCACCTTGCGAACATGTTACACCTACTATTGGACTAGAGTTATCCTACAATAGGCTATAGATTACCTGTCTATAGAGCTAAGTTACTTTGCATTAAAAGTAACTTGTTACGGAAAACTCTAGGTAAGTTACTGCTTGGTTGCAAGGGTGTCAGTTCATTTTGTTTGCCCTTGTCATTGAATGTGATCATTACTTATGCCGGGGTATCACTGGTGGAAGATTGAGAGGGCATCTTGTGTGTTTTCGAAGTTGTGTGCATAATACCAAGTTTTATTGTGCTTAGGTAAATAGCTGGTCTACTTCACTCGGTATTGGAAGTGACTACAGAAGAAGTGGAAATCAATTATTTTGTCAAGTTCTTATTCTGGTTCTCCATTGAGTTTGATCAGCAGAGGAGAAATCATTGTTTGTGAGAGAAACTTGTTGTCATTATGTAGTTCGAGGAGTGAGATGTGGAATATGTTGTGTATTCACATAGAGGGAGGAAGATCAAGCTTATATACTTGGTTGCCCACTTTCTCCAGTATCTAGAATCATCCGATTTTCTTGTAGTCTAAATTCTTTAATGGCCAAGTTGTATGGATATTACATGGTACTAGCTACACCATATCTCTAGGCCGTATGGTTGGATCAAGTCTCTGGTGCTTATCATATTGTTCTTTCTGCCATTGCTGTACTCTACTCATTTTACATAGTACCATTTCATGTTGATTTTCCATATTCTTTTTGTCCCTTATTACATAACAAATCATATGATTTATGGTCTGACTTTGTGGATATTGTCCATAATTCACAAAGAATAGTGTCATGCCTATAATTTCTTGTTTCCTATTATTGTATGTGAACTCGGCCAATGATAAGAGCTTGTGCCAATCATCTTGTTGATAATTGATGTAGGCTTGTAAATATTGCTTATGTATTGTATTTACCCATTCCGCTTATCTGGCTGTCTATCGATGAAATGCAGTTCTTAGCCAATTTTGTAGTCTCATTTCTCTTGTAACTTTTTTCCATAATCCTGATGTGAATATAGT